TCATCAGGCCCCATGGACTTGTATGCATTCAGCTGATACAGTTGGTCCAGGAGAGTGTAAAATCAAACTCTTCAGAATCCACTGAAATGTTTTAAAAATGGCACTTTTCTTATTTTCCACTCACTGAAAAAATATGTATTTGCAGAGCTACGTCTTATAAATTTCCCCTTAATAACTTCTAATTCTTCCCATCCTTACTCTCATTTGTTCTTATTGCTGTATGATGTTAAATTAATACTTCCTTTCAACCTAGATTGCAAAATAACATTTATGTGATTGGCCAAATGAAACACAAGGATCTTGTTAGATAAAAGACAACATAAAAATATAACAGCACTGTCAATTGAAAAAAAATCGCATCATTTTAACAGAAGTGAGTGGTGAGTAACCCATAAAATTCTGTGTCTTCTTCCTGTGGTCTTTTTAGCAATAGTATGTGTGCTATCCCAGACAAACTGGAATAGGTACTTAGCAAAGGGCGCATGTTTCAGCATCTCAGAAAAATATGTAATCATCCATAATTCACATTCTAGTACAATTTTCCAAGCTACACCAATTAAAACTGGTTTATTTACAACAGAGAGGAAAACACAGAATTTTTCCAAGCTATTTGCTAAAAACAACTCTTAGGGCAGATATTTGCATACATTCAGATGCCTAAAGACACCTCCTGGCATTTACTATGATTAGGTGCCAGAGTACTATTACAGCCCAGACAACTATTTGCATTGTTGGGCAATTAAATGCCTCCAAAATCCAACCCTCCAACCTGCAGCATGTTAACTTGGAGAAATTCCACACTCAAATATTTGCACATAAAAATGTTCCATAATAGCTTATGAATAATGCCATAAATCTGAATCAAACAGAATCACAGAATGCCAGGGGTTGGAAGGGACCTCGAAAGATCATCTAGTTCAACCCCCCTGCCAAAGCAGGATCACCTACAGGAGGTCACACAGGAACGCATACAGGCAGGTTTTGAATGTCTCCAGAGGAGGAGACTCCACAACCTTCCTGGGCAGCCTGTGGCAGGGCTCTGTCACCATCACAGTGAAAAAGCTTTTCCTAATGTCTTTGTGGAACCTCCTGTGCTCTTTCGACCTACTGGCTACTCCCCTTCTAATTCTAATTCTAATGCCATTGGCCTTGGCCACGAGGGCACATTGCTGGCTCATGGTCATCCTGCTGCCCATCAGGACCCCACGTCCCTTTCCCCGACGCTGCTCTCCAGCAGGTCAGTCCCCAGCCTGTACTGGTACTTGGTGTTGTTCTTTCCCAGGTGCAAGACTCTACGCTTGCCCTTGTTGTATTTCACAAGATTTCTCCCCGCCCAGCCCTCCAGCCTGTCCAGGTCTCTCTGAATGGCAGCACAGCCTGCTGGTGTGTCAGCCACTCCTCAGTTTTGTGTCAGCAGCAAACTTGCTGACAGTGCTCTCTGTTCCCTCACCCAGGTCATTGATGAATATATTGAACAGCACTGGTCCCAGCACTGACCCCTGAGGGACTCCACCAGACACAGGCCTCCAACTAGACTCTGCCCCATTGACCACAACTCTCTGGCTTCTTTTCTTCAACTAGTTCACGATCCACCTCACTACCCAAACATCCAGATCACACTTCCTCAGTTTAGCTACGAGGATGCTGTGGGAAACAGTGTCAAATGCTTTACTGAAATCAAGAAGTAGTAGTTACATTTGGCAGTAAACCACTGAGTGTGACTGTCAGAAAGGAAGGGGTATGTACACAACACACACAATAACAGTTACAGCCAAACACTGCATTTGCTGATGGCACTGCCCCCAAAATTGGCACTTCTGTCATGTTAAAGTGTTTCAAGAATATCTTACAGAAGTATCAATCAAGTCACATTGTTTTGTCCTTCTGGTAATTAATCCCTCATACTCCTGGTAAGGACAAGAGAAGCTCTGACTCTCTGCTCAAAAATGTCAAAAAAAGTCTTCATTTTTACCAGCAGAAGTTACAAGTCATATTTGTCTCCAAAAGCATGACAGATTATTTGGGGATTTTTTACCAAAGGGCTCTGAATCTGGAATCACCCTATGGCAATCACAAACTGTATTTTAGATCACTTGTGCACAAGTTTTACACAAGGTGTGTGAATAAACCCCGAACTATTTGTATGTTAACAGAAGTTCTAGAGTTAACCCATGGAAGCTACATGTTGAGCACAAGCGTGCTCATAGAGTTTATGGCTTGATTTCCATTTTCCCCGGTTTACTACCACTAGCTGAAGGCACGTTATTTATTTAGAAAAAATGTTTTCCATTTCTGTCAGTTCCTGTTGTTCAAATGACCAAACTTCAGTTTCTCCACCAGAAGTGTCAAGTTTATAAGGGAGGCGTTCAAGATACTCCAAAAGGCGCTACAGGGAGGTGCCGCAGCGTACCATGGAAACAACAGACCGCTTCCAACAGATGCAGCAGTATGCTTCAGTATCCTAAACACAATTTAGTGCATGAAAATATGTTGTGAATTTGAAAAATAAGTGAAAGTCATCTGTTCCATTTATCATATTCAAGTGAAGTAAAATAACGGGGAAACAGAAGCTTAAGAAGTAAAACACTTCATTCATGGAAAGCCTTATAGGATAATTATGTTGACATTAACAAAGGCTGTAGGTACAAATTTAATCCAGCAGTCTAGCTAATCGTAGCTGCAGTCTATAATATACACAAATATATATGCACAGAGAATCACAGGCATGCACAGATCCACAGCTCTGTTGAACCCAAAGAATATATTTTTTAAATTGTGACAACTCCTTTAAGGCCAGCAGTGATGTGCTGACCTTTACTATTGTGTCAAATCTTTACCCCTGCTGCAAGTCCAGGATTCAAATGTTGAGAAACACACAATGTTGAGAAACACACAACCAGCCTTTGTAGAGAACCTGGGTAATATATTTTCCTGATGCAGATTTTTGCAATAGAAATATTGCAGCTTCATTATATATCATGATGGAAAACATTGCATTTCAGTGCACCGGGCAAGCAATGTTCATTTAAAATATACAATATAAATTGGCGAATAGCAAGAGATTTAACCCTGCAAGTCGTCCAGTGGAAGATCCTTAACTGAACAGCAGCTCAGTGAGATAAACCCGGTTCCGAGGAGCTGTAAGTCCAGGCCATTCCAGTTGTACTGAATACGTGTTTACAAAGCAGTTCACCATTGTCCATTTGCCAAATGAGAAAAATCTTTTAAACTGGGAATATCACAAGAAATATTTCTTTTCCCTTCAGAAATATGCTAGGCTGATAAACTGAAAAGTACATCTTAGCACAGAACAGATGACAATGGCAACTGTCAACTCTCAAACACATTTTTATTTATTTGAGAGATTTTTGATATTTTACATTACTTTTGAGGCTACATTCAAATGAATATATAGGTTATGTTTTGCCTCAAAACCAAACACCCATCTCTCATTCTAAGTCACTTAGAGAAACCCTCACTGGCACAAAATGTTCACTCACCAATATAAATTATAATGCATATCTGAAAAACAGAACTGGGCTGTGACATTGTGTCTTAAGAAGACACAGTCAACAAATCATAATACCCAAGATATCACTTCCAATAACATCTGGAAGCCAAAGCTGCTATGTTATTGCTGGCCAAAAATTCATTTTCTTCATAAGTACACTGCCTGGTTAGTCTAGTGTCACTGCCATAACATTTTATTTAAATAACATTTTTGTATCAGGACAAATACATAGAACACAAGAATTACATAGACAGTGCAACACAAGAAACTAAGTCAAGTTTTGTATCATACAGTCTCACTGTACAAAAGCAAGATGTCACAGACCTGTGGATAAACCTATATTACAACATAACATCCTGTTGTGCCTCAATTCTGCAGCATCTCTGAAGACATTGTCCTTTTACACAGAACTGGCTTTTGCTATTTAGGGGCAGCAAAGAATTATTCAATAAAAGTTTTAGCTTCAAAGTGGATGATCCAATTTTGATATGGTTTACATTATGCAGAATTTTGGAGATATAAACAAAGGACTCAATTTTCAAAAGTGAATGTTTCTTTTGAGTACCTTGATCTTAAGATATTCGCTATGAGAAACTCGACACCTGATTTTCCAAGTGATACATACGTTCAACTCCAGGAAAATTACTATGAATTACAAGTACTCAGCAGCAAAGGACATTAAAGCTTATGGTCTGACACAGGGTTTTTAAGAATCGAAGTACCCAGAATGTCCCTTCACATTACTTTGGTTTATAGACATAATTAAATTAAATAACTTGTTTGTGTGTGCTCTTGTCTGTATGCATACACATACGCATTCTTGACACTGCAGCTTTTAAATCAGAGCAACTTTAGCCAGAGCTGCAGAACTCTTTGTGAGGTTTAAAACTGATTTACCCCTCAGTCAAGTTAAACATGTCCATAAATATGCAAATAAAATGAACAAAACTGCACCTGCAAAAAGTCAGGCACTGAATTTTCTTGCTTTTGTAAGAGTCCATTAATATATTACTAGAGGTTTTACATATTTTGTACACTCAGATATATACATATATTTTATCAGTAATGTGTGCTTGCACACATACATATGCACACATATGTGTACACATCACAGACACACTCGCATTCCCTTGTCTACACACATTCAAGTTTTTTCTTTTTAAAAAAAATGCCACCATTTAATACACACCAGAATTGGTTCCAGGTTCTCCAGGATTTTAGAATTATAGAAAAAGGTAACTTACATCTGTCATTGCATATGACAAAAAATCTGGACGTTGCAAGCAAATTAAAATAAAAACAAAGACCTCATGCCCCCCCTCATGCTACCAGCTTTCCAATTAGGAATCAAGATATTGGAATGAATCTGGTATAAATGCAATTAGAAATGGCAGCATTTTGTAGGAGTATTTTTTACAATAAATGTGAATTTTTTGGAAGATAAATTAGTACCAATTTATGGTGAGCAAAAAGTTCTTTCCTAGACAGGTCACTGCTGAGCCCCTTTCTTCTTCTGCTCTAGCTCCTGCAAGCGTTCCTCCCGGCACTGAGCGTGCTGCGTTCCCACTTTGTGGGCTGTCTCAGTGGCTGCAATGTCAATCTGTGCATATCGAGATGATCCACTCCCTGAAATATCAAATGAAATTCTGTAAAAGACTATACTCTACATAAACTCCTGGGTAAAACTGACCCAGAGTTAGGCTGTGGAGACACTTCCTCCCCAGACTCCTAGATGATCTTGGTCAGGTCTTCAAGTTAAGCTCTATAAGGGTGTAAAATGATAAACACAACTGAAAAAGGAAACCTCAAAAGCTTTGCTATATACATGTTTTCTTCAAATAAGCAAATGAACCACTTCTATTTCTGCTGCACTGCGCTGCCACACTCCCCAGTAGAAGACAAAATTGAACTCAGCTCTCCCACTTCTGGGAGGCTTCAAAAGTCGGCTACTAGTTGGTAAATGAACAACATCTGGTATTTGAAAAGAAAACATCTTTGGAAGGCAGTTCATGGGTATTCTTCTTTGTCTGGATTAGGTACTCTCTTAATGTTTACCAGATCAACCACCTTCAGCCTCAGAGAGAGTGACAATTTAGTCCAATAATTGGCAATAAAGAAGATAAAAGCTGCTCAGTCTAGTCAGGAGTAAAATTGTTCTGTATGCCTGCAGACATACAACTGTAGAGGCTGGGAAAGCTTTAATATGAAAAAATAAAATATTTATAGTCATTAAAGGCACCTTCAAAGTTACACAAGTTTTCCTTGGGATGGTAGTTGACATTTAGGGAAGTTTATGACAGTTTATGTCAGCTCTTCATTTTGAATGCCTTGGTTCACTGTCTTTAAAATGAAGATAAAAGTTTTTAAAATGAATATTTTTAAAAGTCTTTAAAATGAAGATAAAATCAAGTTTTACATCTCAACAGGGAACTACATTAAAGCCTGGAAGAAGCTTAGAATTACTCCATGCCATACAAACATTTAAAAAAAAAAAGAATACAAAAAATATCCAAACAGGGGAAGGTTCTAGTGTTTCAAAGCTAATAAAATTGCTGAAATTACAAGTATAAAAATTAAAATTTCAATAGCTGAAAACTATAAATGGAAAGCCCAACAATACCAAATGTGAGCAATTAAATATCAGATTCTGATTAGGGCCTTTCTGTAAGGAGGAATGCATCTCTAAATGACAATGCATGGTAGCTATATTGTATGCTTATGTGATAATTGACCAAGCTAAACCTACAAGTAAAATATCCAGATCCAGGCAAAAGAATAAATAAATAAATAAATAAATAAACAAATCAAAACAAAATAAAAAAAATAGTAAAAAAAACCTTGAGCTAGCTTCCTCTCTGTAGAACTTTCACAGATCCTCTTGTTAGGCAGATAGCAGAACACTCTGTTCTATTTGCTGCATGGCTCCAGAGTCAGTATCTTCAGGAGCAAGCCCTGTACACCTACACCCACAGCCCTGTTTCTGAAGCCACGAAAGAAAAAAAAGTAAGTATAGTCCTAATATGTGTGAAGCAAATCTTGAGAACATGAGGCAAATTACTGTCTGTCAAACTCCACAGACACAGAAATGTTCACTTTAGAAGGAATGCACATACAATACACCTGTCAGAGGGATGCAACATCTTACAGAGCCTCATTACTTCGAAATCTTTTCCGAAAGAGTTGGCAGTTACAAGAACCGCCTCCCAAACGTACCAGGGTTCAACTCCTCTGTTAGCAAGAGCCAACGGGTGGATGAGAAATTAAGATTCCAAATAGAGTCTGCAATACTGCTTCCCTTGCTGTTTAAATAGCAGTGTAGACTTCCTTACCTCTTATGCTTGTGCTAGATTCTTGAAGTTCCAATTCCATGTAATGAAGCTGTTTTTTGGAAGTAGGGCTGACAGGAATATTAACATAGGTGGCTGCTTCGCTGTGAGGTCGATCCAATGTAGTGACGTCAGCTGAATAGCCTACTGCCCCTTCTAAAATAAATGACGTTATTTCAGACACTGTTTGCAATGCCCAGTGATCCATTTCATGAAAGCACACTGTTCCATCAAAAGTTCTGAAAGCAGACGTTCCCCAGCAACAACTCTGCTTGCCAAATGGTACATTCCCCAGTTGTAGATGGGACATGAGAAGACAGGTTTTTACAGAAAAGATCCTGAGAGACTGATCCAGTCAGGATCCATGCAGATGATCACAGACCACAGCCAGTGATCACGCTATGTTGTATCAGAAATCAAACGCTATGTAGAAATGTTCAAAAGTAATGCATGCAGCACTACCTCAGAAGTCTTTCAGCTCTAACTCAGGTTAGTAAAGCCTTACATGAAGCAATCTGTTCTAGGAAGACATGAACTATTATATGATCTGCACCGAAATCACTAGAAGTTCAGAAAATATGTCCCCAAAACAGGGACTGAAGAACTCTTTCAAGCAAGGGGAAGGCAAGCTTGAGGAGGCAGCACTGATGGCTTCCTTGTATTGAATTGAAAAAAAGAACAATAATGCCAAGAGGGGCCAGAATGAGTAATAAAATACTTTAATCACAGGAAAAATGTGGAAGATTAGACAGTGGGAAAACCTTTCTAATACGTTCTGATCAGAAGAACACTAGAGCAAATCCCACAGAGGCTGAAGAATTTCTGCATCTAGGAATTTCTAAAAAATAGATTCACTAACACCTCCCAGAAAATAGTTCTCTATGAAGCAATTCTTACTTAAAGACAACTACTTTGTCTACTAGATGAATTCTCAAGATGTCTTCTAGCGCTATTTTCAATTATTCTAATCTTGTCCAAAGTGAAACTACAAGAGAAGGTAGAAGGTTAATGTTCCATTCCCTGCCCAGTCAGGCATTACAGCTTTCAAACCCTTCCTGATATCAGGCACCTCCATCTAGTTTTGCAGTCCATTAAATACCGAGGGACTTCCCAGAATTACCCGAGCTACAGGAGACCCAAACACAGGCTGTGCCTGGGCAAGTCTTTGAGTCACATTCTCGTCCTACTCAGCAGGCCAGCAATCATCTGCCTGTCCACTCCAGCTGAAGTTCTTACCCTTAAACACTTTCTTGCGGTTAAGTCGATTTGGGAAAGAGGAATGCAAAGAAAAAAATATATCACTTTCAGGTTCTCCCTTTCCCCAGAGTTCTCCCATTAAGCTTTTCCTCATCCCTACATAAAACCTGAATCAAAACTTTATTTGTCCAACTCATTGCTTTTCTTTTCTGTCCATTCAGACACCATTGAGATGTGAATGGAGAGGCAGTAGGTGATCAAGGCTTTTATAGCACAGGAGAGAATGACTTTGTATATCTAACCAACGGCAGCTGTGAACAACCATTAAGGGGAATTTTTCTTCTTCAACTATATTATGAATAGCAGAGATAATTCATACAGAGTCAGACAACAGGGAGAGTTGTCAGAGGTTACAGTAGGTTCCAGGATAATGGGATTTCTCCAGGCTTAAGCTATTTTAATCAAAGGAGTCTACTATGCAATCCAAAATTTTAAAAGCCCGGAAGTTTTCTGACAGATTTTCTTAAAGAAAACATAGGGACATCCACAAAGTAACCAAACACTTTTCTGATCATCAGACTTTGCTGTTCCAAAGCCAGGTGCCAGGAATCATAGAATCATAGAATGGCCTAAGCTGGAAGGGACCTTAGAAATCATTTTAGTCCAGCCTCCCTGCCACCAGGGACGCCACCTCTCGACTAGATCAGGCAACACATGGGGACCGAACGGGAAGAAAATGAAAAGATAAAAAAAAAAAAAATCAAAAATAAGAATTTTTTATATCTTCATCAAACATCATTCTCAGAACTTATTCTCAATTGTTCTGTCTAAAATATTTCAAAGGAATTTGGCCTGACTAGACCAAAACAGATTCAGCAGAACCATAGCATTGAAAACCTGCATCTCAACTAGTTAATACTGAAAGAAATTGACAGTCTGTTGCAGTCATGAATAGTCATGAAGGAAAGGATAATTTTTAAAGTCTTTCTATACACTGTTAAATTGATGTAGAAGGAGTTTAAGTGAAGTGTACTCAAGGCTAACTAGCATGAGAACTGGTAAAATTTCCCTATAGAGGTAAACAGTTGAAAGGTTTGAGAGACTGAATGTCATACCTGATGCAGAGAAGCCAAACAATTCTCCTGAGAACTAAAAAGCCACACATATATTAATAGATGGGGCTTTGTGCAAGAAAAACCAAAGAAACACATAAAGCAAAGAAACTCCCAGCAACAATCAAATATTCTTGCTGTAACTTGACTCAAAGAAAAAAAAAAACAATCCAAGAACAAAGTGGGAAAACTGGAATGGAAGGAAAAGTCTTGTGTTGATTAGTCTGTGCTGTCTTAACAGAAACTGTGCTTTCTTTGTAAACATAGAAATACTTGGCTTTTCATTTTTCCTTCACATAAAAAACATCCCTCATTAGACACTAAAAAACTGGCTGGTATTTGTTTGAAGAGAAAGGTTTATTAGAAAAACACAGTCAAAAGCTCCTCCTAAGAAACCAAAGCACGCAAAAAGAGCCATGGACAAAGACAGAAGACACTTGCAAGAGGGACTAGAGGACGAGTACTTGGGATCATTCTGGAGAAAGAATTTGGTAGAAAAAAAACCAAAATGCAGGGTTACCACATTCTAAAAGAATCATGATTGCTTGAAGAGAAAGGGAGAAAAGTTAGGAAGAAAAAAAGATAGTTACACAAGTAACAAAAGAAGAGTAAAAGAGAAAATGCAGTGGCACTCAAATAAGGGAGAAAAGAAAGAAAAACCAGCATAACTGGGGAGGGAAGAAGAAAATATTTGAAATGGGTGTTTTAGCCTTTCAGTAGGTGTCAGTTACTAATATTTTTTACCCTACGTAGGCATCAATCTCAGAGACATGCGACAAATATCGCAGAAAGAAAAACCCATAAATGCAGCCCTGAGATTTGTGTGTGTGTGAGGGAGCACATATGTAAAGGTGACATGTTCAAAGGGCACCGCTTCAGAAATAAACTTTTAGAAGAGATCACAGCAAAAACGGAAATGGAGAAAGAGATAGGAGATGTTAGCGTCCTCTAACGCAAGTGGTTCCAAAGATCTTGACTCACCAGGTTCCTCAGAGCTTGTAGGAGTTCCAGGTTCTGCAGGAAGTGTTAGGGTCTCATAACCACCTTTGGGACCTAGAATACAGGAACACTATCAACAGCTCGTGATTTTCTGGGTTCGACTTACAACTTTCTAACTGAATAATCACACTGAATAACCTCAGAAAATATAAGCAGGGTTTAGTGTTGACTTTTCTCTAGTGGTGATGCAAGAATTTTCTAATGAGTGTCACACCAAGGAAATAAATGTTAGGACATTCTTGAAAATATTCACACTGAAGGCCACTGAAGTCAACAGTGTGTTTTGCTGTATGTCAAGGAGAGAGCAGAGCTGTCTTGCATGCATGAATCAGGGAGAAGTGTGTGGGTGATTTTGGGATCATCTGGAAGACACTTGTTGAAATTCCACCTCCAGCATGATGGATAACTTCTTGATTTCTGTCAAAGCTTTGCAGAAAATGCTTAAACTAGCCTTTCCAAAGGTAACTTTGCTTTCCAAGTCCAAATCATCATCTCTGCAAGAAGCCAGGTTGCACATCATTGGTGCTTCCAGAGCACTAAGCTGAAAAAGGATGCCTGGATTCCCTCATGATCTCAGACTCCAGCCCAGTTCAAACAGGGCAAGCTGAAAATCTATGCCTGTAGAATGAACATATTTGGATTAATTTTGAATGGCAAACACTCAATTTTTTTTTTTTTCTGCTAGCGTTGTTTCTTTCTCCATTATCCTGAAGAAGCATCTTTAGATGTGGTGGGGGTTTTTCCCACCGCATCGTTTCTAGGGTACAGGATTTCTCATGGCCCGAGATGGATTTTTTTTGGTGGATGCCCTTTGTTAAAACGCTGGCAGCATTTTACTGCTGTGAATAAGATTACTGCCTATGCTCTGACACTTATCTCATCTGTCACTGCATCTTCTAAACTTATCCCATCTGTCAATGCCTTTCTAACAAAAACCCTGCGAAGAAAAAAAACTAAAGAAATACACAAGTCTTACAATGGGGAATCAAGTCATACATTATCTTTAATATTTTCTGAAGTTTAAAATAATTTAAGTTAAAATTAACTTAAATTTCCATGCACACACATACCTCATACACACACATTTACACCTACCAGCTTGGAGACTGTGCCCTCTGTGTATTTTCAGAGACCCAGAAGGTGCCATGACAGAAGCACCACCTGTTTGCAAAGAGAGATATTCACATTAAATCTAAATACTTGTTGCTATTATTAGATATCTGCTGTGCATCAGCATTTTTAGTAGGTGATTCTGAAACACTGAGAAAAATTTCACTAAGAGTCACAAGCTATTGTTCTTCATTTAACCTATATTCCTTTTTTTTCTTTTTTGTCTAAAATCTGAATCCCAAGATTGTGGATATAATCTAATTTTGCTGTGTTCTTTCCTCAGGAAGAAAGGATGCCTCCTATAAAAATTCAGGATACTGGCCTCCCTGTTTGTGGTGAGCACTATCTTACTCATACAGACAGTCATCTTGAACTGAGAAGTGAAATGGCAATGCAACCTGAGGGGAGAATTGCCTTTGCAATCCATAACGTAGCTTTGGCAATCACAAAGCTCAGAGTGTTCATACAAATCCCATCAACGTGGATCCAAAAGCTATTGAAATGAGTAGTCCACCATGAAGTTTTAAACGTGTATGCATGAACTGGGGCAAGGTGAAGGGCGGGTGAAGGATCAAGCTTGTATGGGGTGTGAATCCAGGTCACAGCTGGTTCTTGTGAAATACCATTCCAAGCGTTACTGCCAGGAAAGCTCTACCAAAGGTATGTCAGGTGCCACAGTCAGTTTTCTTTCCGCAGCTCTATTCAGATCAGCAGTGAGGTGCCCAGGCACAGTATTGGATACAGAAGTTTGAGGACATAAGAGCTAGCAACTCAGGAACATGCAGAGCGGAACACGTGTAGCGTGGTTTGTCCACGTCCACGCATCCCTTCTGTGTTTAACGAGTCGACTAATCCACATGACACCTACCTGTCCAGTTAGTTTTATCCCTATCCAACCATGAGTGTCTTGTCTCTACCGCTGTCAGCTGTGGGCAATTTAATCAAGGTGAGTGGCATTTACTTCCTCACATGACTAATTTTGCAGGAACTTCTTGTGCGAGTGAATTGTACTTAGCAGAAATGAGGTAGGAGACTGTGCTTGTGAGTAACCTGCCACGGGTGAGAGGGCAGCTGTGCCATGCACTGTTGGGTGTTGGGAATCAGGTATAAAGTGAACACTCTCGTCTAAACCGATGAATAGTCTCTGAGCTGGTGAAACACTTCCCTGCAAATTTTTTTTTTTAAAAGCATTCAAAAATTACCAAATCTCTTACACAACATGAAGAAATTCTATTAGATAAATAGCAGACAAAAAACTAGGAAAAATGCATGCTCTAGGAACCCAAAGAAAATCGCAATTTCTTATTTTTTTCACCTGTATAAAAAGTATACATTCATATTATTTTTTTTCTAAATCTAATAATTTCCAAGCTTAGCAAATTATTCCCACACTCATATAAAATAAACTTAAACAAAACCTGCAGATTATTTCACCTAATGAGGACAATGTATTACACAAAGAGCAAAACTAACACATATTTCAGAAGTGCACAACCAAACTAAAACCTTTAGTTTTGCAGACTTTGTTTACACAAAAGTATATACAGGGTAATCCAAGGCAAAAATAATTTTCAGGCATACCATACTGAGAAATCAGTTTTGTATTTTAACAAATGAGGTTAGACTGTAGTACCTTTACATACTCTGGTGAGGACTTACCCACTAAAATGGTTATTTAAAACTTTGCTTTTAACAAGAACGCTGTCAAAATTAAATGCAAAAATAGGAAAGCCCTGGACTAGCTGATTTACACTTTATGCAGATGAAAGCCTTACCTTACTTTGAAGAAAGACTACAGCTCTATGCTAATTACAGCTTCATCACAAAACTAGTGTGGTGTGGGTTTTTTCTGCCTCAAAAACTTAATGTAATTCAGCAGAAATCATTCCAGAGGAAACATGGATTTTTAAGCAACATTTTTAGGATTTGTGAAAAGCACAGAGGACAGGAAAGGAGATTTAAAACAGTAAGATGTTCCAGTCCATTTATGGTCAAGTTAAAGTTTTCCCATTTGGAGCTTGCTTAAAAGAACGATGTTAATGCTTCAGGATTTGACCTGTTGCATTTTCCTCATTTTCAAATCTGGCAACTAACAAATATTTACATAGTCAAATCTCTTATGGAATTTTTTTTTGAAGCTTTGAACTGCATCATATAAACACATGTCAACAGAGATCGACCTAGATATTTTCTCCCTTATTCTTTATAGCTACCATATAAACTGGTTTGTTTCTCATTAATGAATCCTATGATAACATTTGCAGGAATGGAAAAAGCAAGTTAACAAGATAAATTTCCGAATATATAAAGCACCCAGCAGGAGACAGGCACCCCCTTTCATCATTCTTTTCATCTTACAAGGGATTGTTAAGAATAATCTTTTCAGTTTCCCCTGCCATCCAGTTCTGTGTGACTGACTCACTCAAGTCTTCGCTAAAACTGGGTAGCTCATCAAGAGTTATTTCTGTTCTACTTTCCTCAGTGTGTAAGAGGAAGAAGATACTCAAAATGTGACAAAAAGAAAACAAGCTGCAGAA